ACATAACTGTGGTATTAAGGGTTGACAACAGTGGGATATTCTAATTGGTTATTGAGACAAAAAGCAGATAGAGATAAAATAATGCTGTGAGGCCAGACTAAGCGTTAGTGTGACTTGAGGCCTGGGGAATTTTCATCTTTTGCTCTTTCCAGTGTGTGGCATTGGCAGTGCTGGCTGCCAATTATTGCTGTGAAATCGAGTTGTGGGTAGATTGTGCTACTATATGCAGTTTGATTTGAGTTGTAAGCTCTTTCTTTTTCCTCAGCAGAGATATTTAGTTACCCAGCTAGGGTTTAGAGTTTCATTGATGCCCCTTGCTGAGTTCAGAAACTGTCAAGAGAAGTGTGCACACTGTGGGAGTGCTCAATGTCAGACATTTGAGCTAATGCTCCATGATACAGACCACCATAGTCTAGGGAGCTGTGTACTACAACTGCTATACTACTAATAACAATAATAACAATAACAATAAAAATGGTGTATAATGGGGCGGCACAGCGTCGCAGTAGTTAGCACTGTCACCTCACAGCAAGAGGGTCCCAGGTTTGAATCCACCAGCTGGCTGGGGGCCTTCTGTGTGCATTTTCACCTCGTGTCAGCGTGGGTTTTCTCTGGGTGCTCCAGCTTCCTCCCACAGTCCAAAGACATGCGCGTTAGGATAACTGGTGACTCTAAATTGCCTGCATGTGTGAATGGGAGCATGAATCATTGTCTGTCTGTATGTGTCAGCTCTGTGATATACTGGCGAGCTGTCCAGGATGTAGCCCACCTCTTGCCCTGTGACAGCTGGGATAGGCTTCTGCACACCCACAACCCTGTACCAAGAGGGTTATGGCGGTTATGGAAAATGAATGAATGAATGAATGAATGAATGGAATATAATAGAAAACATGCTGGTAAGTGGAATTATATTAGATACACAATTACACATTGATAATGTAACCTTGTGGCTCCCAATATGGGGGTTGGGACCCCCCAAATGGTCACAAGTTATTCTGTAGAGGGGTAAATACTGTGGTGACAGAAGTATTAAGATCCTTTACTCAAAGGGATAGTTTGCCGACTTTCAGCCTGGTCTGTGTCACCACGGTGTGTGGGGAGTGTGTGCAGATGAACAGTATTAAGGCATACCTTGTGCCCGCAGTGATGGGAACTCCCGGCCCATGCCATGAGCAAAAATCCACATAATGACACAAAATGCATCATTTTGCATAATCAATGACACATTTCACAACATCCAACGGATTCAGCTGGTGGACAGGTGGGGAGCTCTGGGAGCTGGTGGTACAAAGGGTGCCTTACCACTGTTTATCTGCACACACACCCCACTCCATGGTGACACAGACCTGGTTGAAAATCAGTATCCCTTTAAAGAAAAAATAATATCAGCAACACTAGATATACTGTAATGCATTACAAGAAAGAAATCCTGTATTGAAAATTTTAATTGAAAAAGACTAAAGACTAAAAAGTATCACCATCAAAAGGTACTTAGAATATCAAAAGTAAAAGCACACAATCGGCAGCAGAATTGCAATGTCCCTGTTTTATATAATTGCATTGGTATTATTGATGCATTAATTTGTAAGAAGCATTTTTATGATGTAGTTGGTTGAGAACAAGCTAAGTTTAATTGGTGGTGTTATCTGTAGCAATGCAGTATAATTTTAAGATTATTATATTTTTGTATTAGCTCCCATGCAGGCAGAAGAGGCTCAATATGGACTCAAGGACACCACAAAAGAATTCCGAAGTGCAGAAAATGTATTTAGGTAAAGTTTCAATGACATAAACAACAAAGACAAACAACAAAGACCCTCCAGGGTAAACATAAAGCATACTAAAGAAAGAGCGGAGGGAGTGGAGGCTGAAGGAGCAGGAGCTTCTGATGTTTAAGAATCTGTGTTTAACCACGCCAGCAGCACAGCTCCAGGGATGGCGCTGTTTATCAACCAGAGTGTGGAAACACTGTATTTATTGAATGCTGGACAAAAGTCCAGCATTCAAATTTTTATGTAAATAAAACTACAAACATATGAGCATCACTACTAAAAGTATCATTATTTAGGGTATCAAAAGTAAAATACTCATTTTGCAAAAATCCCCACTTTAAGATTTTAAGCTCATTGCACTTACGTGTTTGTAGTGCTTTATTTCCTCAATGCATCAGGATATTTACATTCTGTTCTTCTACACATGTAGAGGAAGCCCCTGCACACTGTCACACCAAATTTGGGATCACTCAGAGTTTGAATAATTAAATTATATGATTTCAAGTTTATCATCTCCAGCTCAGGCTGGCTTGGGATGTGTCATACATTTCAGACCTAGGAGATTCCCCCAAACTCAAAGATGAAAGTTGAGTGAAAGTTATTTAAAGAGTGCGCCACAAATCAACACTTTTATTTTTGTTTCCTGAATCAACTAACATTAACCCTATTAACTCCCAGCAACCAATCCAACAGCATCCTGTCAAGTTGCAGGAGAGGAGGAGAACAATGAAGAGCTAACGTTACGGGTCCATGTCATTGATTCGACAGCCCATTAGTCCAACTGTCCGCGGTGCTGAATGGCTCGTGGCGGGTGTATGGTGCGCCGCGACCGGCTTGAGGCGGAGCAGGCTCACAGCTTATGTGTTTGTCACTTTCTTTTTCATTTTAACCCACACCATGATCTTTTCCTGACCCTAACCAAGTGGTTTTTGTGCCTAAACCTAACCAGACCTTAACCACAGGGCATCATGATGATTTCGGAACGGACTTCGGAACAATGAGTTAATATGGTCAGAACAATGGGATGTCGAACCAATGGGCAGTTCCCAACGTTACGTCACTGTGGGCCATTTGGAAAAACATGACACCAAAGATAATTTCATTTACATAAAAAACTATGTCGTAGACAACAACAAATGAATAGCAGTATGCAAAACTTGCGGATTAAAGATGACAGATGGAGACACAACAGCCTCCGGCTTTGTTTGACATTTGAAGTTGCACAAAGAACGTTAAGTTGAGGCTAACTAAAACATAGCAAGCTAATGCTTAGCTAACATTAGCTTAACAGCTGTGTCATTCTTTTTAACAATTTTTTTGATTTGTGGAAATTTGACAGGAAAATGGAAAATGACATCACATTTGGTGAAGAGGTCATTATGACTTTTTTAGGACTTGAAACTCAAACTTTAGGACTTGAAACTTGACTTGAGACTTGACTGCAAAGACCTGAGACTTACTTGTAACTTGCAAAACAATGACTTGGTCCCACCTCTCTTCCCAGCCTACCTCCTCCATCCCCATCTCTTTCTGCTCCTTCCTCATACCGCGCGCACTTGTTTATCCCCTTGCCTTATTCTCCCTCACTTCCTCGTCTTTCAGGAAGTAACTTTTAAGAGAACAACCACCTGCCTACTGTAAAACCCAGGAGACTGAAATTTATTTTAACATTACATTAAGTCAGAAATGCTACAAAGCAACATGTGGGAGAGGTATGAAAAACATCAGAGGATGTTCCATCACATCCTGTGTTTGTGAACAGGTTTGACCTCTGACCTCCACCCCAGTGCGGTACATTCATGATGCATGAAGGAGTGGGAGAAAGGAATGCTTGTGACTGGCCACTTCCACAGTTGTTTTTTGCAAGCTTGCAGAACAGGAACTATTTGGTGATGTCTTTGCCTTTTATCCAGGCGATCAAATTCCTCATTGTCACTGGTAACTTCATATGTCTCCCATTATTCCAGGTCGCCCAGGCTGTTCATTCAGATCATTTGTAATCCTCAACAGCATGTCTCACAGAGGGAACAACTATTTTTACATCAGTCAAATTACACAATGGACGAGGAACTTTAATTTTCTCTTGAACAGGGAACTAGAAAAACTTTCTTCAGTGTTTTTGCAGACAATTCCCAAAATGGTGCATGCGAGAGCATGTAAGAGAGTTTATAAATGAATGAGTGAAGGTGTGAATGTGTGCGTTTTCCCATGGTCAAAGGAGAAAACAATCCCTGAGGTTGTGTGGTGAGTTTGAAAGGCGACACTAGTGAGTTTATCAGGAAGTATATTTGTGTGTGCGAGCGTGTGTGGCTTTAGGCAGGTCCTGTGCAGAACAATTCCCCAGACCACACCCATCTTAAAGTCCCCCCTCACTTCAGCCCACTTGTCCTTATAAGGTCACACCCGCAGCTCGGCTGATGATTGGATGAAGAAAAAAGCATTTTGATTGAGGCACACACACCTGTGCAGGCTTGCACACACACCCACGACTTCACAGTGTTTCCTCTATATGCACTGAGTGGGATTACTGTTGATAGTGCCATTAAATGAACACAATAAACACAACTATTATGCTTAAGTATGTATTTAATTAAACTTCCTTTCTAAACATTATTCTAAAGCGAGCAGTGGTTCAGCTTTGAATGGCTGGAGTGATGTTGTAATTAAGTTGTGTCCACACACACACACACACACAACATTACACCTCTGGCACTTGTCTTGTCTAGACATGCTGCCAGTAAAACTCCCAGAGTCTGCAAAAAGACAGTGCATACATGCATCAGCACACACGCCGCTATCTATTTATGTGTTTCTACTGAACCTGCAGGAGGGTTAAGTGGGACAATGAAGTGCCCAAACCAGCATTCCTGACCGCCTTACATGAGACACACATGCAGCATTTTGAGGAAGTAGCTTATCAGTGGTTTGAGGAAGTTGGTCAGTTATCACCAAGACAAATTTGCTTCTGTGTCTTTCCCTCCAAGCCACATTTTTTATTGTCATGGATTCTGCAGAAAATACAAATGCCCTCAACTGTGAACTTCACATTCATGAATTGCTGAGCTAAAATGAATAATCTAATTCACAGAGCAGGACAGAAATTGTAAAATATGCTGAATAACTCTGAAGTGAGATACTTAACAATTCCCTGAACGAGGAGAAACAGTGTCCTCTAGCTGACACACACACACACACACACACACACACACACACACACACACACAAGCATTACAAGAGATTCAGATTTTATTTATGTGACATACATTTTTATTACACAGATAATGACACAAGCACAGTCCATGAATTTGTGAGATTCTTTCATTAGTGGGTCAGCATCATGGTAGTTCACCCACTGTTGTCTCCTTCAGTCAGAGGGCTGTTCTGTCGACTCCAGTTCAGATAACACAGCTCTGTATGGGACACAAAAGCAAGTGTCTAATAAAGGCTGTCAGACAAGTAAATACATATGATACATTACAGAGATCAAATGCAACTAGAACATTTTCCTCTGTAGTTCCCAGCTGCGTAACATCTGTCTCAGATGCTCCTCTTCTGTGTTAAAAAGGACAGGAAATTATGTGGAGCTGCTGTGGCTGGAAACTTCCTTCCACTCCTAACAGAAAACTGATCTTTTTAATTTAGTCTCTGAGGCTCAAAAACTATGAATTGGTCACTGAACTGGTGTTAATTTGTTCATCCATCACACCTGACATCTCCACAGATGGGGTTCTGATTAAACCTGGGGAGACAATACGAAGCACCAAAGCTCTAACGAAGATCTGTTAGACTGCTCTGTAGCGTTCGGCCACTCTCAGTGTCATCTTAGCATAAGAATTTGGCGATTACAGAGACTACAGAGCTGTCCTTAATTAGGGATTTCCCATGTTAGGACTCCTAAATTAGGATGGTATAGCCCTATTCAAATTCAAAATAACTGCCAAAATGGCTGTCGTGAGGTCCACTTGGAGATGATGACAATAACAACACAAACACTGAAATATAATCAACTGTATGATGATGTCATAAAAAAACCATACCTCCTGAAAATGTGGGGTTTCCTCTCCTCCACTCACAATTATTGCCTTGCAGCTGAAATTGAACACCCATCTTTTTTGGTCCATGATAGCAAGCTAGCTCGCCAGTTAAAAGTGAGTCGTTGATAAAGATAGGAAAAATCCTTTCCTCCTATTACAGAAGCAATTTCTAAACTCGTGACTGGGTCCTATCCTATCTCAGATCTTATCCGAACTTCAGAAATCTTAACTACAACTGTAACTTAGATTCTTAATTTGGCACTTGCCCTGTCATGCTTTAGTGTACGTTGAAAACATACACAAACTGGTAGTCTCCTCAAGATGGACAAGCCAACAGCTCCCACTTGTCACTGGCTAGCGAGCTTGTTGCTATCATAGACAAAGAAGGGGCGTTTAATGTCGTCCACAAGGAGTCAGAGGCAGTAATCAGGTTGGTGGACATCGATCAAATTCAAAATAAATTATTGATTATTTTAATTATTATGCATTATTAATTAATCATCTTGACACTTCATATAGCCATTAATGCATGTTCCAAGAAATTTAAAGCTATATCGTACAATGTGAGTAGCCTGTCATCATTATATTTTGGTGTTTATGTCATCCTTATCATCACTGCCACACAGACACATTTTTGGCAGTTATTTGGAATTTAGCACAGGGTCTATGCCCTCCTAATTTAGGAATCCAAACATGGGAAATCCCTAATTATGGACAGTTCTGTAACAGCTAAATTCCTATCCTAAAATAAGATCGGACTTTACTAAATGCAGTTAGCTTTGTATGTTTCTGTAACACCAAAAATCCTAAATGTCATCTTAAACTGACATAGGACAGGATTTCAGACTTTCTGTAATGAGGCCCCTAAACTAAAAGCCATGTTTCCATGGTAACAATCAGTGCCACTGTTGACCTGTGGCAAAGTGACAAAAAGAGCAAAACGTGGCTCATCATTTTTGCTTTGTAAAATGAGTGATGAGAAGAGAAAGAGTTTTTAAAGAGTGCAGTAATGTGATAGAAATATCCAACAGAGAAGACGTTAGTCATTTTCATTAGACCAAGGAAACTGTCCTGACCCTGACTCATGGGTTATAAGAAGTACTGAGCCCTGCCACATTTGTAAGCTACAGCTTAACACAGATTCTGTGTTACTGGAATTTATTTTTATTGTGACATGCCTTTGCTGAGTCCTTGTAACTGTTTAATTATGCCAGACGGCAAACATTTCCTGCTGCAGTCAATGAAGCAGAGCAGGGTGACAATGTTGTTCCATCAATTGTCTTTAATAATTTACCCAGAATTCATAGCATATTAGCCCTACTTTAAAAAGTTAAGAACCAGACAGCTGTATGCAACAGATGATTTTAGATGTCTATTTAAAATCTGAGTTAGATCTCAGTCATTGTCAGAGTGTGTCTTTGTGAAACAGGCCCCTGGTGTTTGTAAATGACAGTGATCAGCCTTTGTCTCTTTTCCTTTATGTTTCCTGTCATGACAGTTTGTCTTTGGTTATTCTTGTTTCACCCATTATACAATGTGACATTTTTGCAAGTGATTGTCCCAGATCAAAACACGTGTCCTGCTGTCATATAATAAATCTCCTCACCTCTGTTCCTCAGTCAGATCAAACTCAGCCAGTGCTCGCGTTGCCAGCCTTGGTGTTGCAGACAGACAGAAGGCTCCAGACAGCTGAACCAGCTCCACTGCTTTTCCGGGAGATCTTTTGCTGTGACACACTGACATGAAGTCCTCTAACAGTTGCTCACTGACAGAAAACACACAGTCACAAGGAGAACATGAGCGTTTATGCCAAATGTGTGCCATGTCAGAACAAGTGCTGGAATCGAATTACACGTTATACCTGCAACTTGTTTTATCTGTTGGAACAGTGACATCCTAAGTCACATTCATAAATCTGATGCTTTACTATTTGTATTAATACACAATTACATTTTATGACCTTGTACTAGTGACATGTTTACCGGTTGTGTTGAAACCTCCTGTCATGACGAGTTTGAGATGTTGGAGCCAACAAAAGCAGTTTCAGTTTTACTACGTGTGATTACCAGTTTGAGGATGTCATAAAATTCCCAATGATAGTTTTTTTAAAGTGAAATATCAGTTACATTTGTTACAAATAGTTTATATGTGAAACAAACGTACTTTAAATTAGAGCTCTGTGGTCACTTGAAGACTTTTTAAAGAGATTTTTTATGTTTGAAATTGGGGCAGAGACTTACTCAGGAACTCTGTTGTTGGATTTGAAGAGCTTCAGCATCTCCCTGAAGATAAAAACAGAGTGAGGGAGAAGTCAGATTTATTTCACTTTAACAGTATTTGGCGGTGGACGTTAGCAGAGTCAGACTATGGTAAAAGCTCTCCTGTAAATGGACTGACTGACAGACAGATATACAACTATCTCCCTCACCAGGCCTGTTGGGTTCTGTTGGCTCGCAGCAGCAGGGAGATGATGTTAGAGAGGGAGGAGTTGCTCCACTCCAGACGCATCTTCCCTCTTTCCTCATCAAACACACTCTTTACATCCAGAGCACACACTGCAAAAGACTCCTGAACCTGCAGAAACACATTTATTCATAAATACAGCCTGGGTCTATGCTTCACTGTCTCCAGTCTGTCATCATGTCCCCGCCTCACTGACCTCAGGACTGTGTCTGTCTCTGGCCATCAGAGCGAGCATCTCCTCCACCAGATCTGACTTATTATCATGACCCAGAGAGCGGATATCTGCAAACAGATTCAGAGAATAGACACAGACTCAGATGTTGTTCGTCTGACATCCTGATTTTTCTTTTTTATAACTCATTCAGTTTGTATCATTGTCTCTGTCTTAAACTGTCTTTGCAGTGAAAAGTCAAGTTTGTAACAATGTAAACATAGTCTATGTCATTAACTGCCAGATTTTGTGAGTGATCAATGACTCAGGACATGTGCTGATATTACATCTTATTCCCACTGCATGGTTCACCCTGACTCAACTCAATTTTGGGATCAGGTCCTTTTCACTATTTCATTTTCCCCTGCAGATGGTCTGACAGGTGGCGTAAAACACTTTTAGGTATTCTGCATTTTCTTTGTTTGTTTTCAGGTTAAATGAAAACTGGTTAAGTTTATTTGGGCTGCCATTTTTTTCAAATCTAGTTTGAATCAATAAAGAAATGTGGTTGCTCTTGGCAAATATTGGTAGCTTGGATATAAAAAATGGCAGGTTTGAGCAGGATGTCCCATGTCGCTCTAGTGACAATTCTCTTTGTCCAGTGAGTGGTCTACAGTCTTACAAGTCCACCTTATAGTATCGGCTCAGCTTGCTTGGAGACTCAACTGAGATGGTACCAAAAAATACCAGTTACACCCACAACGTTTGCTTATGAAAACCCCAAAACGGCGTGAGCCATGCTGAACCGTTCAGTGAAAATGCATCATTGGATTCCTTTACCTTTCCATATAGTGGGCAGCAGGTCCAGACGACTGTCGGTGTCCAGAGCCTGCAGCAGGTCCCTCATTCCCTGATGGTGCGGGTAGTGCAACTGGAAAGACAAAATACAATCAAAAGTACTGTTTACTCCCATAAAGCAAGGGTAGATAGTAAATTATCCATCTCACTATCTCCTAGAAAGAATTACTGAGAGATAAATTCAAACATGAAAGATGAAGATTATCCCTTTTTTTTTTTTTTTTTTTGCAAGACATCTTAAAGAAATCTACTGTGTGTCACAGGCCTTGTCCAGGACTTAAGTCAAAGGGTGGTGACCTTAAACTGTGAACAAAACTCTTAGATAAATCTTGGTGACGGACACATCATTACACACACTGTAAAAAAGTGTGGGTAATTGCTATAATGATGAAGAATTGGTGACACAGTGATGAACTAGCTGCTGCTTATATCTTAAAAGGATTTTATTGATTCTTCATAGACATTATATGGTCTGGAGCAGTACAGCTGAACACAAAGAGTGATGCAGAGATGTACTGACCGAGGGAATGAGCTGTCTGTACCACTTCAACACCATGTCAATGTGCTCCATCATACACAGCAGGCTGAAGAAGCGACCACTGAAGAGGAGAGAAGACAGGTTCACTTGCATAGGACAAAAATATAGGAATCTATCAACATAATTGGATCTATACACTTTAAGTACAGGGTCCAGGCTACACTGAAGCTAATACATATATGTTCTATTACTAAAATCATTCTTGATTAAATGACCAAAATCTCCCACGACATCCCAGTTGTTTCCTGCCACCCTGGTGCCTGGATATAGGAGGTACAGGGGACATGTTTTAAGTCTGTGGAAGGCTTTTTACTTACTAGTATGTACTCTTTTGGTAGGGCTCTCCCAGAAGCCTCCAGTTCTGTCCCACTTCTACCAGGCTCTGGACCTTATAACTCAGCTCCAGGTCTTTGCTATCCATACACTGTCATGACAAAAACAGGCAGGGAGGCAACAGGTTAGATGGACGAACACATGAACCATTAATGTGAAGAAGGAAGGCAGGATTGATTGAACTAGAAGTTAAGCAGAAAGTGTAACTCACAATTTAACAGTAACTCTAAAGGTACACAAAAAAAACTTAAGTGCTTGATAAAATAAAAGGCCTGAAACAACAGGCTCGTCACTAAAGACTCTGTCATAGTTCTAAAAAAGGACTTGCACTTTGCAGACACCCATTCCTGATAAATATTTAAACAAAACAGGTAATAAAAAAAGACTTACTATTCTCATTGCGCTCATGAAGAACTGAACTGGAAAGAAAAACATTCATTATTAGATCCATTTTAGACAAATGAAGGAAGATTTATTTCCAAAAGTCATTACACACATGCACAACAACATACCATCATTGGGGTCCTGGCAGGTGAAGCTGGTTCCTGCCAGCTCTGACATCACTTCGTGTAAAATGTCAGTGTTGTTCTTGCCAGTGGAGGCTGGAGAGGAAATAAAAACCACTTAATACAACTCAGTGTGCGGACAACGTCAAAGACTGTACCGGTAATGCTCAAGTGTAATGTGACACCAAACTTTGTTTACCAGCTTTGTAAAAGATTGCCACGATGTGGTGGTAGGTGGCCAGGCTGGGAGCTGAACACACACAAACACACACAGTTACACAAAGTTGATTTTTCAGAGAAATACTATTATTGCCTCCCTACTGTACCCCTATGTGTGTGTGTGTGTGTAGTCACCTATTCCCAGAGCCTTCATCTCATTCAGAGTGGGTAGAGCTTGTGTTCTGGCCACATACCCACAGCGTCTGAGAGCTTTGAAAACGCTGTTGAAGGTCAGCAGGTTGGGCTGAACTTTCTGTTGCTTCATCTGGTTCAACAGCTCCTGCAGACGGAGAGAGAAACAACTGGGCGTTTAAACGAGCTTACCATCATGGAAACGCTCCCCCTGCCACAGGACGTGACTTTAACAGCCACGCATGTCCAAAGGAATTGCAAATTCACATTTCACACTACAGTCTGTTCATATCTTACTCTCTCGAGTCTTAAAGTGTCTAAAGTTAAAGTAATTATCGTGCAACTCATAAAGGAATCATTAATTGGTTAAATAATTTTATTTGTTGGTTTATCTCCAATTCATCAAAGACATCTTATTTAAAAATGCCATTTTTCAAAAGTCTGTTATGTCACAGAAATAGAAGAAGAATGATAAACTAACATTTCAAATAAGGCTGTTTTTTAATAATTTCTTAAATAATTTCACACTTTATATATTCTACTTTTCTGTGTGAATAGTGTAGAGTATTCATTTCATCATATCTTTTCTATTAATCTAATATCTAATTTAATGACACTAAAAGGTGTTTGATCAGGAAACCTGGTGATCTGTATCAAAGCTCTGGAACAGTGAATAAAACAGTGCACACGGTCTTACCGCGATGAGGTCCCATCTCTCGTTGAATTTTTCTCTGACATCTGGAGCTGCTGAAATCAACGCGTTGAAGATGTGGACGTCAGCTGGAAAGAGAAGGCTGGGTTATTGGTCATCTGTTTCCAGTACAATGTAACTTCAGTGAGTTACCTGCAGGCTTCAGAGAGCCACTATGTCTAGGATTTGATAATGTAATACTTTGGTACCATCTAATGGTCGTATCAGGAATAACACTGACAGCAATACACACTGTCAAAACCAATGGGCTGTATTTTCAATTGAACACACTTAAGTAAGTGATGAGCGATTTTCTCTTCCTGTTGTCTGTTGAACTCACCGTTCAGCCTGTTGTTTAGCAAGTCTGTGTACATACTGAAGGCCTTTGCGTGGGCTCCATGCTGGTGAGAGACAGAAAAACATATGCACTTTAATCTAGATGCACCAAAATAACTATTTTACTGCCACAACAATCCCTCCACAACCCAGTACTCGCACCATCAGTAATGATTGTGTCCATACCTTCACCATGCCTCTGATCAGAGCGGAGTAACACCGTGTGTCTCTCTCTGGCAGCAGGTTAAAGATTCTCTCTGCATTGTTGTTTTCTCTCCAGGTGGATCTCAGCAGGTCTGCAGCCCGACCAAACCTTGTTTTCTTTCTCTTCACTTCCTCTCCTGACTCCTCCTGAAAACACACACATATATACTGTACTATTAATATGATGTCTGAAGTCTTGGGCTTAATGTATCTAGAGCTTCAACGATTAGTTGATTATGTTGTTGACTAAATTAATGGCAGTTATTTTGATATTAACAGTTGTTTTTAGTTGTTTTTTTAAAGACAAAATGCCAAAACTCCCAGCTCCCAGCTTCTCAAATGTAATTTGCTGGCTTGCTTTTTTGCCTTTATAACTGTCAACTGAATATTTTGTGGGCTTTGGACAGTTGACTGGACAAAATATGACACTTGAAGATGTCATCTTGGACTCTGCGAAACTCTGATGGACACGTGACACTATTTTCTGACATTTTACAGACAAAACAATTATTTGAAAAATTACTGTGGATAATTGATAATGAAAATAATCATTGGTTGCAGTCTTTACTTGTCTTTGACCATCACCCTGACATTTGGATCGGGGAGGACTCACCATGTCCTCCATCTGTGGTTGTCCCTCCTGGAGAGGGTCTCTGTCACAGTAGAGACAGATCAGGTCTAACAGGTCATGGGTTGTTTCCATAGAGACCGCTGTGCCTGGAGGAATAAAATTAAAGAGTTAATGTGTGGCAACTATCTGAAATAAGAGAATATGTGTGTGTGTGTGTGTGTGTTCTTACCAGCTTGCAGGAGTCGATCATACATGTCAACAGCAGCTGTAACTCTCCTCAAGTTGATTCGTTCGTTCAGTGCCTCCTCAGTCACCTCCTCGAGAAGCAGCGACACAGTCTCTGGCATCAGACACTATACACAAACACACACACCAATGCAATGAGAATCAATCAACACTGTTGTCCAAGGCTAAATCAATAACCGTAGATATTGTTTACTCTGTTAAAGGTTACATTAGCAAAGCTTTACACTTTAAAGATTCTGTATGACATTCAGAGCATAAATACAGCAGCAAACACCTATTTGCTGTGTAAAGATATGGAGGAGTGATGGTGTTAACCAGGGAATGAGGTCAAGCTGCCTCTGTGTGTGTTGTAATCCGAGCATCTCTGTTCATTGTTGTAGTAGACTGTCCAGCCACATGTACCTGTGTGTGTGTCCCACTGGCTGGCTAATCACCACTCTGCACTGTGCTCATACGGTGGTTAGCACTGAGTGCAGAAGCTAAATGCTCGTTCTCAGGTTCCTCCCTTGTTACCACCGCAAGCTCTGTCGGCACTGTTGCCATTGTTAGTACTGTTTGAACTGCTGGCAACATTTGCTGCTAGTCACTGGATCAGCCACCTTCATGTTGAGAGCTGCGTGCAGCTATTTTGAATCATAAGCTGTTTTCCCAATGGACAAAAAACCCACTGACATCTAGCTTTTGTGTTTAATGGGAAAGGTTACAATCTGCATTCATTCTTGGGACAAGAGTCTCTGCAGTAGTCAGGGGTATTCATGTTGTCTCGAGCTTTGATCGGCTTCGATTGGCAGTGATGGAAATATGACCCCCGGGTGGACACACTGAACATAAGGTATACTCGTCTACCGCAGAGCCGTATACACCTCTCTGCAGCACGGCAATGGGTAAGAGTCTATCACCTATTTTTAGTGGGTTTTCTCTCACAGATACGCTCTGAATATTTTATAGAGCTCTTTTAAAGTGAAACTGGACACGATATGTTAGACTGGGACCGAATAACTACAGTTTTCTGACATGAACTGTCCTTGATTTAAACTGTTTTCGCCTGCTGTGTAACCACGTTTGATGTCAATCCTGTGACTATGTGTTCTCCAGCCCCTCTGCATATTCACTCGTACATGTGTGTTTCTTACTGGTATATGTGGCTCAGCAAAGTCTTTGGTGAAGAACTTGGGATTGCTGTTGACAAAGTATTTAGCTGCAGATCTGCCAGCCTCCTGAGAGAGAGAGAACAGCTTCTGCAGAGAGAGAGGGACGATAATACGTCAGTTTTACTACATCCTAATGTGTTTTCAATTATTATAAATACTGTATCTCATATAAGTGAGTACACCCCTCCCATTTTTGCAAATATTTCATTATATCTTTTCATGGGACAACACTATAGAAATGACACTGTGATATAACTTAAAGTAGTCAGTGTATAGCTTGTATAGTAGCATAGATTTACCTTCCTCTAAATAATTACTCAAAACACAGCCATCAACATCTAAACAGCTGGCAACATAACTGAGTACACCCCACAGTGAACATGTCCAAATTGTGCCTAAAGTGTCAATATTTTGTGTGCCAGCCATTATTATCTAGCACTGCCTTAACCCTTCTGGGCATGGAATTCACCAGAGCTCACAGGTTACTTCAGGAATCCTCTCCCACTCCTCCATGATGACATCATGGAGCAGATGGATGTGAAGACACCTTGCGCTACCCCACCTTCAGCTTGAGGATGCCCCACAGGTGCACAGGTGAGTTTAGGGCTGGATACAGACTTGGCCAGTCCATCACCTTCACCTTCAGCTTCCTCAGCAAGGCAGTTGTTGTGCAATGCAGTTTTCCAACATTATAATGACCCAGAACACACCTAGAAGATGACAACTGCCTTGCTGAGGAAACTGAAGGTGAAGGTGATGGACTGGCCAAGTCTGTATCCAGCCCTAAACTCACCTGTGCACCTGTGGGGCATCCTCAAGCTGAAGGTGGGGTAGTGCATGGTGTCTTCACATCCATCTGCTCCATGATGTCATCATGGAGCAGTGGGAGAGGATTCCTGAAGCAACCTGTGAGCTCTGGTGAATTCCATGCCCAAAAAGGTTGAGGCAGTGCTAGATAATAATGGTTGGCACACAAAATATTGACACTTTAGGCACAATTTGGACATGTTCACTGTGGGGTGTACTCACTTATGTTGCCAGCTGTTTAGATGTTGATGGCTGTGTTTTGAGTAATTTTCAGAGGAAGGTAAATCTATGCTACTATACAAGCTGTACGCTGACTACTTTAAGTTATATCACAGTGTCATTTCTATAGTGTTGTCCCATGAAAAGATATAATGAAATATTTGCAAAAATGGGAGGGGTGTACTCACTTATGTGAGATACTGTACATAGAGGGTTTAAACATTGTTATCAACTGGAATATAAAAAAGTAACCAAAATTATGATAACATTTTTTTCTGAGACACATCTGCATCATATTTGCATAATACCCATTTAAAATTAACCTCCATACCAAAATGCATGGACCAGAATAGCTTAAACAATCCAGAGGTCCCCATATAGGCCTTTATAAATAACAGATGACTGCTTTCAGAAAAGAAATAGAGCACAAAATTAATCCAGTTGAGTAACATGATGTCAGTGTAAAGATTAGCATGTATTTGACGTACAAACTCAGCAGTGGTTCTGGGAGCGAGGTAAGGATCATCCTGATACTCGTAGGGATATGCTGTAGGATCCTGGAGGTAGAAAACAAAACAAAAAGTTAACACACAGACAGATTGATACACAAGTAAAGATCCACACTGAAAGGTCATCAGAAACATGTGAAGGAGCTCTCACCCTGCCAACAGTCGAAGCCAGAGCCTCCAGCACTGCCTCCTTGCTCCTGTTCAACGAGAGGTGACATTCAGTCAGGGTGGTCTGTTTCAATATAGGGCACACAGTGCTGCCTGCACTGTATTAAACATTAAGATGTCATGTAACACACATACCATGTTTTCTTCCTGGGGATGACAATAGTCTCTGTAGATTCTGCAACGACATCAAGAAAAGGGTGTGTCTTTAATGCCACTTATATATTAAAATCAGTTATAAAAAAAACACCTTACCTCTGATGCAGTTAATAGGTGATTTGCTCAAATTAAACAGGAGCAGATTTTCTCTAAATTCTAGACATTTTCAAATAAATCAAATTACTTGAAGGATCGGTCTGTATTTTGTGTGTGTCGACAAATCCCATGTTTGTCCATCTCTTGATACTTCCCAACATCCAAACCTATCTGTGGCTCACCCTTAAACCTTAAAATATGTAGTTTGTTTCTTTGTTTTTCTTTAAGGCTAACATTGCTAAATTATATCCTAAAACAGCTGTAAACACTGTATTTTTATGCAAAAATGACTAAAGGTGGAGTAAATAGTGCATTTGTTGGAGAGTTATTTCAGCTGTGTTTTAATGCACATTACTCCAGTGAGTAGATTCATGGCTGCGGGATGATGTATGTCAGATCATCTCAAAATATACTGTAAATGTTGACCTTAATGTAGCAACCCTGTGCAACAGTGTGGCTCATGTTTTTGAAAATCAATAAACACACGAATAAACCAAATCCTCCGTATATTTTATTACACAGGTATTGAAAACACGAGCAGTAACCCTGATACAAGTTTGCTGGAGGATTTAACCTCCTATAATGAATGCATATATTAATGAGCCCTTGACACAAGGATGACAATACTTGAAATCAGCTGATAAACATTTTAAAACAGTCATTCAGTCGTGGTACTTTCATCTGAGGAATATTGCAAAAATACGTCCACAGTTATCCTTCCACCTACAATTGGTGATCCATGCCTTACTGTAATACTCTTTATTCCTGCCAAAGCCAAGATGCTGTTACCCAGTGACAGTTAGTCCAAAACTCTGCAGCAAGACTACTCACTACGACCTCTTATAGCTCTCACATCACCTTGGTTCTGAAGTCACGCCATTGGCTGCTGATTAAATTAGCATTAAATTCACAATCCTCCTCCTCACGTATAAGGCTTTGAATAATTTTGCTCCAGAGTATATTAGTGAACTACTAATGCTGTATAACCCTGCTAGACCCCTCAGGTCCTCTGAAAACGGCCTGCTAGTTGTACCTTGCTCAAGACTGAAAACATGAGGGGACTGTGTGTTTGCTGTCCTGGGTGCCAGGCTGTTTAGCAGTCTTCCACCAGATCAGGTCAGCAAACTTTCTTGAGGAGTTTAAGTCACAGCTGACGACCTGTGTATATTGTAGGTGTTTTTTTATGCTTGGATCATGTACTCTGTTTTGAGCTGTGATACCGCTATATGTTGTGTGTGTGTGTGTGTGTGTGTGTGTGTGTGTGTGTGTGTGTGTGAGAGAGAGAGTGAGTGTTGTATTCCTCATTTGCTCTTTAACCCCCCTCCCTGTTGTACAGCACTTTGTAACCTCGGTTTTAAAGGGTCCTATAGGAATAGCAACGTACTGACAATGTTTCAGTCATGACCAAAAATCTTACTCCAAATTACCTTTATTAGCTTCTGCAGCTTGTTGTCGTAGAGCTGAAGTCCAACCAAAACACCTGGAAAAAATGGGAAACTAAATTAACCACTGCTACTTCAGTCCTCTGGTGGGATGTGTCAATTTATAGATCCCCTTTATGCACAATGCACGATGAACATACAGTATCTATTATCCAAGTAGATTATTATTAGCTAAGATAACATCATAATAACACCCATGGTTGCAAATAATGTTCAACACAGAATGTACAGTGAGGATGACAGACAGCATTTGTCCTTCTGTAAAAGCGTCACGCTCTTTTAACCGACAAATATAACCCGTATGAAATATTTGAGATAAGGTAAAACACCATTTACATGCCTAACACTAACTTCTTCCTCACATATATTAAGTATCAAATTTATCAACGTTTGCTGCAGTGACGTAAGTTAGCTTCATGAAGACATGACCTCCTGTCAAATGATGCTAGCTGAAGCTCGGAGGCTCATGTAGCAACACAAATAAAAGACAATTATGTCGACTGAATAATATTCCGCTTTACAACTTTGTTTTAAAGCTGTCTTACCTGTGACCCCGCAAAAGCTCGACGTTATTCAACAAAAAGCGACTGTTTCTCTGGATGTAATGCCCTACGTGCCTGCCGGGCGCCGCCATGTTGTTACGAACTGAAGGCTTCTGGGAGGGAAAAACCATGTGGGCTCAGAAAAGGGGAGACAAAAATAACAACACTTTGTATTTTAAATGAATACGACACTTTATCCATATGTAACATCCTATTAGCACAACATTTATACTTATAAAGTTACGTTAAAAGTATAATACCCACTAAGTTCGTGAAAAAGCGTTGTCATCTGTATTTGTGTCCCCCCTCTCATCTTTCGTGTGGTCTGACCGTCCCACGTGTGGAAGAGAAGCAACTTTGTGTCGCATGTGGTTTAACGCTGCGCCATGAATTTATATCAATAAACACCTCAAAGTTTGGCTAATTCTCCAAAATGTTGTTTGGAAAAGATGTGCCATGGCGGCGACTGGAAGGCATGTCGTTTGGCATGTACTCTGCCGAAGAGATAAGGTGAGACACAGCTTATTAGCTTTTGCCCTCAATGCTAAATATGAGTTCAAAACAACATGCCTGACTTTATCAATGTCACTTTACCTTAACGTTTTGTTCCAGGACTCCAGTACGTGCAAATTACACACATATTTTAGCTAGGAGTTGCTAAGTCGATGTTTTTCATAGATATTTCTCATCTGCTGTTTTGTGCAGCAACAGTGAATGTCAGTCAAATGGAATAGTGTCACCCTCCATTTTCAGTTTGTTCATTCTCACCTACTTTGATTTGATGTAGCAAGATGACACTAAACCAACTAAATACTGATTACACCTACATTGATCAGTCAAAACAGTACAACCATTGGCTGGCTAAGTGAGAAACATTGATCCTTTCATTACAATGTATTGTTCTGCTGGGAAATCTTGGGTCCTGGCATTCATGTGGATGCCACTTTAAGATCTCCACCACCCAAACACCTGCAGACCAAGTACCATCCTTCGTGGCAACGGCACTTCACCATGGCAGTGGCCCCCCAGCAGGTCAGTGCACCATACCACCCCATAAAAGCTGTTTAGAAATGGTCTGAAGAACGTGTCAAAAAGCTCAAGGCATCAACCTGACCTCCCAACTCCCCCAAATCCCAATGTGATTGAGCATCTCTTGGAAGTGCTGGGGCCCCAGAGGCACCCCTGATCCATGGTGGGGCCTTCTTGGATTGGATTTGGCTCTGACCTGTCGAGGCTGGGCCACAGGACCTTTGGGTTGTGTCCTGTGGTGTCTGGCACCAGGGTGTTGGTGGCAGATCCTTTGAGTCCTGTTGGTTGTGAGGTGGGGTACCAGCATATCCCACATATGCTCAGTCAAATTGAGATCTAGGGTGTTTGGAGTTAAGATTGACGCCTTGAGTTCTTTGTCAGGTTCCTAGGACCATTCCTGAACAGTTTTTATGGTGTGGCATGTTGCATTGTCCGGCTGGCACGGAGAAGTCTTGTTGCCATGAGGGAGGGTACTTCATTCACAGCAGTGTTTGGGTGGGTGGAGTGATGTCAGATGTCAGTCAGATGGCATTCACATGAATGACAAGACCCAAGGGTTCCTAGCAGAACACTGTATTATAACAAAACGATTAATGTAATTCATTACACCAGCAAGTGGTTTTAATGTTTTGGCCAATCAGGAAACATGATAAAGCTACCAGTTATTCACTACAGTAACAGCTACCCCAAAAGCTGCTAAGAATCCAGTATTGTAGAGGCACTTAGTATAATAATGCATTCTTCTCCTCTCCTGGCTAGGAAGCTGAGTGTGAAGACCATCACTAACTTCCGGTTCCTCGATGCTGTTGGGAATGTGGCCCCAAACAGCCTCTACGATCTGGCCCTTGGACCAGCTGACAGCAAAGAGGTGCATCTCCACTGAAATCATATTACTTTATAGAGTAATGTAATGACTCAGCTGTAAAATACCATAGATCTGTCTGCTCCTGATCTGTGGCTCGACCTTACCGGCTAACTATTCTGTGTGTGTAAAGTTTAAGATTGTGAGCCTTAACTTTCAGCAAGTACTTAAAATGACTTTTCTTAAATGTAACTTTCTGTTATTGTTTCTACCAGGTGTGTTCAACCTGCTGTCAGGACTTCAACAACTGTCCAGGACATCTCGGACACGTAGAGCTGCCTCTACCTGTTTACAACCCACTTTTCTTTGATGTAAGCATGTCCACAAATGCACCACACAACCATACATATACATGCAGTACACACACATAATGATGGACCAGCCTGAGAAATTAAGATCTTTTAAAACAGTATCGACTTTTAAATAACTTTCTGAATTTAATATTGTTTACCCTTTTCTCTTATCACCTCCTACAACTCTCTTTTAATCAGAAACTCTACCTGTTGATTCGCGGATCCTGTCTTTCATGTCACATGTTAACGTGTCCCCGAGCAGCCATCCACCTGCTGCTGAACCAGCTGAAGTTAGTGGACCATGGAGCCATGCAGGACGTCTACCAAATAGAACAAGTTCTCAGCCAGGTGGGTTTAAAGTTGAATTATAGCAGGACTGTGATGAATTGTGATATTATTATTTGGGGTGTTCTGTGAATATTTTGGACAGGGTTTTTATTCATTGCCAATGTGTAAGTCTCAGGTTGCTCTGCTGGCTTCGGTTTCCCCACAGTAGTTTTGTAACTACCATAAACCAACAATTCTCTGTTTAAACTTTACTTATTAATTTGTGTGAACTCTGTGTGTGTGTGTGTGTGTGTGTGTGTGTGTGTGTGTGTGTGTGTGTGTTAGCACCTAGAGGAGAATCCCAAAGCCACTGGAGATGAGATCGAGCAGGTGCTCAAGCAGTTTACACACACGGTAGTTGGAGTGAACGCTGAAGCTTCAGAGAACACCAAACCAGTGAGTACACACTCACACACATGTCCAAAGACATGCAGAAACATGGTACTCAATTACAAACATTCACACACCTAAAATCACTTGACGACTTTTTAATGTGATTTAATATATGGAAACCATATTATTCTATACGCAGCCCTCACACTTGCCTTATTTTCTGTGTGTGTGTGTGTGTGTGTGTGTGTGTGTGTGTGTGTCTGTGTGTGTGTTTCCAGATTAAACACCTTGTTGAAAAGAAGAGCAGTCTGATAAATGACTTCTGGAAGATCCACATGAAGACGAGGAAGTGCCCATATTGCAGGTAACTTGATAGAAGTGGTGAAGCACTGCACTTGATTCTCATTAAATGTTGTCGTGAAATACTTTGTTTATCGAATCTTAACCATATACCACCTTATTATTAGTTGTGTAGAGCCATTCATACTTACAGATGTGTATAACATTCTGTGTACCAACTGATTATAGGCCTTGTTTTCTACATCCAACAACTAACCATACAGGAGAAAATCTCTGAAATGGTTATTTGCTAAAAAATCAGACCAAGAGGATAAAAATGTAGGTGGCATAATGATGAAGTGCCTCTTTACTCTGGTGTTGATAATGGTCCATTGTATGCTGTAATCATGGTTTCTGTGTGTGTAGGGGCGGCAGGGTTACAGTGCGCCGTGAACACAACAGTAAGCTGATTGTCACAATGCCATCAGGAGCACAGACCATTGTCAATACTGATGGTAAGTCATATTTGAAAGAAATTAGATTGAGAATAAACATTATTAACTTCTGAGTGACAGAGAGAGACAGAGCCTGTTCATGTCTTTGTTTTGTTGAAGTGGTGTGTAACTTGAAACTCTGCACCAACTTTGCACCCTTTGTAAAGCCCTGCCTATACATATATACATACAGTAAATTAATCTTACATTGCTTTTGTTTCTCTTTTCCTGTAGAAGATCTGATAGCTGGAAAGAGAGTCTACCTGACAGCTAGTACTGCAAGAGAGCACACCAACAAACTGTGGGAGAGAGAAGGTAGGCCAAGAAAACAATGTCCCACCATGTGCGTGAAACTGTACTGTTTTACAATTGCATCACATTTAAAGGAATCAAAAGTGAATATCTGAAGTTTGGTTTCACCAGAAGGTCCATTAGACTTGATTGAGAAGAACATATGAAAAAACGGTCACATTTGAAACTCTATAAAAACTGAATTTTAGATTGTAAATATATAAGGATGCAAGAAGGAATCATTTGTGATGAATGACATGTTTTACATTTCTTTGTGTTTTTAGTCCCCCATTTATAACTTACTTTTTTTTTTTTTTTTACATTTTTTTTTACCACTTGTAGCTATTAGAAGGAATCATTGTCAAAGTATGAATCTTCTAACCTCTCTGTCGTCCAGGTTTCTTCTTGAAGTGTCTGTTCTCTGGGCTGGAGGAGGGGTCGGTGTCAAAGGAGGGAGAGAAAGGTTTCTATCCAGACCTGTTCTTCCTGGATCTGCTGGTGGTCCCACCTTGCAGGTACAGTGTGAGCAAACACACTCACATACTGTACATTGAACCACTGCTAGTATAAAATTATACAAATACTAGTGGACAACAGTCTGTACAGCGTGTACAAGCAGGGAGGGATGCAAAATCAAAATATAATCTCATCTTAAATATATTCTTTCTTTTGTGTGATCATAAATAACAGTAGTATTAATATTAGCAGAGGATGTGTGGACCTATTGCACTATCACACCCCTCCTCTCCCTGTCAGGTACCGTCCAATCAATCGACTTGGTGACCAGATGTTTACAAACGGTCAGACAGTCAACATGCAGGCTGTCATGAAGGACTGTGGACTCATACGCAAACTTCTGGCTCTCATAGCAGGAGAGAAAACTACTCAGGAGGAAGAGGTAGGATCATTTTTAAATCCATGTTTATGTATGATAAAGCATAGCTGCAGAGACAGAGTTAAACATCTTGATTTCTGTGATACAGTCAGCCTCATGGTGTGGTGAATAGGTCCTCTCTCTTCCCTCTCAGGCTCCTGAGCAGACAGACCAGACATTCCTGGCCGGGATCCCCGGACAGACTCTGACAGATAAACTCTACAACATCTGGATCCGACTGCAGACCCACGTTAACATCGTCTTTGACAGTGACATGGACAAAATGATGACGGAGAAATACCCTGGAATCAGACAGGTAGCACATACACAGATGCTGTTGGTAACACAAAACAC